CTGCTCGCTTCGGGTGTGCCAGAGTACTTAGCACTGGGAGGGCCATGATTGCTGGTTCTGCCTTCTGGGCTTCTTTCCACTAGCCTACTGAATCTAAGACTGTTGCGGCAAGTTCTTTGTAAATGAGAGGGTTATGAAATGAGGTTTGGCGCTCCGATTCATTATTGCTATCACACTGCAAGCGGGGATTTGAAATACGGAAGTGAAGCCCAAGCTCGAGCAAACAACCAACAACAGACCGCGCAACCGAGCATTGACCAAAACCGTCGACCAAGAACATATTGCTATGTCATTTCAAAAGTTCACGTGTTCTATATTCCAATAAATTATAAATGCGGTAACCCTGCTAAGTCTGCCCCCAGCCTTTGACCCGAACTAACCCTGCCGCTTGTTTGACAGATACAGCCTGCGGTCGGTTAATCATAGCGGCAACCACCGTGCGAATACGTTCCTGGATTTCTGGTTGTTCTACATATGTACGAGTGTGGGTCCTAACCTCCTCGACCCTTTTCCACTCCTGCAGTCCGACTCGCTGCATGCCGGATTCGACATTAAACCGAAAATACACGTCGTGGTGGTCTTTGAACCGAACAACCAGCTGGTCGTGCGTTTCTTCGCAACTTGTAGCAATCTTCTGTAGCGTCTGAGGAATCCGAATCAACTGCAGCTTGGATATTAAACCGTCAGGACGAAGCTGGTCCCTTTGGCTATATCCTGCTCCAAGGTTAACAACTGTCGCAACATGGTGACCTGGAAATCGCTTGGCTGCTTCATCTAGTAGCTCTTTGGTTGGATTGCTACACCCAGCGCTCCCGTTCACAAAATGCATTTCGAGAGGCCCGTCGAGGATCACGATGGGCTTGAAAAGCGTCGGGGCCGTCATTGTTGCACGGATACCTTCCCAGATTGTGCAATCTGGCATCAAGTCGGCGGTGACCTCGTAGGTACGAAACCGAGGGATATACCCGATTTTTCCAAAAGCAGCGCAGACGAACCTAGCGATAATCGGTCGTCACAATGACAAAATCAGGATGGTGAACAAACTTACACTAGGCATCGGTCTTGCTCCGGACGCGGATCAAGCATTGTGATTTCTTTTCCGCGTTGGACGTTCAGTTGATCCCGTTCAGATTGTGAAACTGGCGCTGGTTGGCCCGTTGTTGGATTATCGGGAAGATTTTCGCCAACTAGTATGCTGATAGCTCTTTCGAGGTTACTAGCTTTGAATGCCCCTTCCTTCCAAGGCAACTCCAACTCTGAAAACGATTCGCCAGCAAGTTTGACGTAAGCCTCAACCGCGTCATCGATCGAAATGTGAAGTCGCCCTATCATGACTGCGACCAAGCTAAAACGACAGTTGCAGCAGGCCGTGTTCGGTAGTTTAGAGATTACCCACCCTCCTACACTAGACCCGCAAATCATGTCAAAGACCTCCCATGGATATATTGTTTGATGGTTCGGATTTTCCTTTGAGAGCTCCGCGTTCAATTGATTCATTATTTCCTGGAGGACGAATAAAGACGATAGTCCTTTAACCCCACCTCCATCTGGGGTTTGGAATATGTGTTATGAGCTATACATATAAAACAACTTAGCAGGACATACCGAATGAGAGTAGACATAGTGCCCTTGGTGTCACCTCGGCTGGCGGTCCCTCCATCACGGTGGACGAAAAACAAAAGGGGTCGTAGGATTCAAAATACACGAGTTTGATGTGTATCCTGGTGCATGTCGTAAAAAATTCCATTTTTGGCAAGTTACGAAGCATCTGCATACAAAAAAACGTGTCCACAACGCGGGTTCAGTTGGCCTTCTTTTCTTCCCAACCAAGCATGATAGATTTTTCATCGACTCGCATTGCGACAGACTCCAAATAGGTTATGAGATATTTGGAAACATAGGCCCCAACCACGACTAATGCCAGTATAATCCAGATCACGGGCATCGCTGACTGGGGAATGAATCCGAACAGCAAAGGATCGAGGATGAGATGAAACGTGACGGTCGAGTGTTGCCAAGGGGAGGGAACAAGGGGAGAAAAGAGGTGCCATGTTCGATATTTTGGAGCCTTCACACCAGCATCCCTCGCGCGGATCCTTGCGTACATGATACAGGTTTTTGTTGAGGAGATCAGGACCGTGGTGTTCGTGGAAACCCGTGAGAGCAGGAACTGTGATAACTGAGCCGGGGTATATATTTGAATATCAAAATCAGCTGGTGTCTAGCCCAGGATCAGCTCATAGGGGTACAATGCTCCAACACTCCGAGAACACTTACCGATGCCGGCCAAGATATTCTCAGCGAGTACTTGGGCGGCCCAGACACCAGTAGTCCCTTGCTCTCGTATCCTTGGTCGATGACCAGTTTGACAAATAACTCGTTCTTGCAATTGGGTTTCCCGCATACTTCTTGCCATGGAATTTTGTAGGGAGCCAGCTCCACCCCGAATTGCCAAGTTCCGGGGGTAGGGTTCATTTCTTGCCTGTTCGAATGAGCGCATGAGGCAATGCTCTGTCATGAGAATATGTCATATACCAATCAATGTCTGGAAATTGACCCTCTATATCCATTGACTGCGAGCAGACGAAAGGAAAATTCGCAATTTCTGTATTTGCAAATGATCTTCCAAACATAGACAAGATCACGGCAACCAGAGTAATAAATTTGGCTCGTGAAGCCATTTTGTACATGGCCGGTTGAGTAAAATCCTCAATGGCTAGGTTGAGAGTGGTCTGGCCGTCAAACCACTGCACGTGACAAGCCGCGTCAGAGCCACGTGAAACAAGGGGAGGCAGGAAACTAAGCGCCCGCGCGACGCTGTCAAAATCAGCCAAGCTCTGAAACTTCTGCTGCCATTCCGTGAGACTCGCAGGGTTAAATTGAGAGTTCAAAGGAGATCTTGGATCATTCCTATTGCAGAGTGGTGCATGCGACACTCTTGTTTGTCCGTGTTAGGCCCCCGACTCTTAAAGTCGCGCCCCTATCTTTCGTGCTGGTTTAGTTGACCACATTCACTGAGCCGCGCCGCCGCGCTCTCCATCTTTTTGTTAGGTCCGATTTGTCCTATTCGTGCTTATCAATTCACGTCAATTCCTACGTCGTTTGTTTCATCCGAATCAGCCATGCTCAGGACTTGAAGTTGGCCACTCGAAAGGGTATTAAAATTTATTTACTCCACCCAGTATTACACCGCTGGAGACGGGGGAAAGGGGATGTGTAGCTGGTGAAGGACGGGTGCAGGAGGCGGGGGAGGGTGACCTGGGTACCCCCCTGGTCCTACTGGTACACCACCCTATTGAGCAATAACTTTATTAGAAATTTTTGATTCTTAAGGTATGCAGAAAGTGCTCTATCCGATTTATTTGACTGTTTTGCTCATATGGGGGTGGGTCATATACTTTGATCTCGTCTTTTTATTAAGCCGACTTGTGAGTCTGCTCTCGATAGCCACAAAGATCCCATAGATTATAAGTCTCAGAGCTCATTCTCGGGTAGATTTATAACGTCCACCTTCGACCCTGGCTCAAACTAGTCCAGGAAGAGTACATGGACCGAAAAACATCGTTTCACATTCTGTTTCCGTTTGTATCCGCTTTGTTCAACGGTCTGTCAAACAGACCCGCTCGCACTCTCCCCTTCTCTTAGAACGGGATCCGAATTCTTATTGTCACCCCTACGCGCGGCCCCTTTTGTCAACGTAAATGATGCTGTTTCGTATGCCTTAGCACGTCTATGCCTAGCGGCTCGAGAGTCCGCCCGAAACCATTATTGTCATTATCTTACAGACATACATACACATATCAGATATGTGCATCCCGGCCATGCACCATTTTACCCGTAACTGCATTTATGATAGTTGCTCTTGATATAAAATAGTTGTTCAGACACTGTTCTCTACCCTCAGTCTTGGGGGGTCAGACAAAACATTCTTGAGGCTACAGGTTCCGCTTCATGTGATATGGTCGAACTTCGTCTACCACCATGATCACCCCAACTCAGCCAGGAGCAAGAGAAGATTGGGAAACACCCCTAATCACTCACATTTAGCTAGACTCTAACATTTTCCATAAATTAAGCCAAGCATCACCTCGGACGGCTCCCACAATTTGAAGACTTGCAAGGAGACGCCCCACTCTGACCGTACGTTCGGAAAGTACCAGCTCGAAGCCTCGACCGAAATCTCTAGCCGATCTCCCGACTCGAGCCATTTCCAAATTTCATGCGTCGAATCAAAGGGCCGAATCGTAAAGTTCTTCCTGCTCGGATTCGTCAAGTGTCTCCAGTACAGCGGGTTACCATCTTCGTCGCACTTGTAGGAGGAAACGGCACTACATTGCGGCACGATTCGAACGAGAAGTTCGTCCGGTTTGAATGCCTATGGAACGGGTAATCAGAACGCTTGATCACATCCGCGCACAGTTACTGACATGAGTTCTGGACATTACCGGCTCCACCGGATAAATATGCGGCTCGGCTTTCCATATTCTCCTGAGTAGCCCTCCGGGTATGGGCTGCGTGCATAACCACGGTCTCGCTATTGCCCCATCCTCCCCATCCATCACAGTACCGGCAAGGCTTCGATCATAGTCGACCTTGTCAGAGAAAGACGTATCCGGCCACGGAGACACAAATCCGGCGAGTTGGCAAACGTAGAGAATGATCTCGAGAGGAAGACCAGGGCGGCATAGTGTACCCAGAGCCAGCGCCTTGACAGTCGCGTAATATACCCGGAGTTGCGCGTCTGCGTAATGCGCCCGAGATTCGAGCTGGGTACCTATTGAGATGCTACTTGGTTCAGATTATGCCGTACGATTTCTAATGGCATACACACCCATGTCGTGGTCAGGAAAGGCGGGTTGCTTATCGTGTTTACGTCACGCGAGCCAGCAAGATAGGATGACTAAGCACACTGCTATTACCCGTTTTGGACAAAGCGCGTCACGTCGATCAATCCTTCATTAAGCCACAAACACAAAGCTCGGTCTGTGGAAGGAGCAAAATGACCGCCGCAGGGCTCGAACCTGCAATCTCCTGATATATGAAACCGTTTTCGTAGTCAGACGCGATACCATTTCGCCAGGCGGCCTTGCTTCCGGGTCGCCATCTGCTTGTGGATCGTGCGGGGTTGTCCGGGCCGGTGAGCCGGTTCAAGTCTCATCACAAATCCGAAAGTCCCAATAAGAGAGTATATATTCAAGGACCGAAGCATAGAGACAAAACCATTCTCGTGGATCCCAGACTGATAAAACGTAGAGAAAAGTCGTGACTCGTCATCACTGGCTTGGAGGGGAGTAGCCGGGAACAAGATCCCAATGCCGGGCCATGACCTTATACGGAGATCCGTCCACCAGATGATTCGTGGGACACATCTGACTCATCCTGAACTACGACATCGCCAGACGTGACTTGCCTGTATGCTCAAACTAGCTGAATGATTGAATTTGGGGCATATTCCATAGCCACTCACCCCTTATTAAATATGCTTCCATGGCCAGTAAAGACAAGGATGTCGTAAAGGGCAGTACCAGTCAAAGCGCCAACGATAGGACCCATCTACTCATCAATTAGCTTGTTGATCAAAACCGTCGCTCTCGAAATAACCCACGGTCGGCGCATAGATCCAGTACTGGCTGCGAAAGTTCCACACTAAAATAGGTACGGGAATTTAGTCATTAATTAGGCTAACACTCGATCAATTACCTTCACGTCCATAGCCAACCATCCAACACATCAGTCGGGGGCCAAGGTCTCGAGCCGGGTTGAGCGAGAACCTAGCCGAGAATGAGTCAGTCTACCAAACAATTTACCAAGATATAGGCTTGTACACTCACGATGTCTGCATGCCGAAGCAAGAGCTTATGCCCAGCATAGTAATGAATAGAACGAGAGGAACGAGTCCATTTGGCGGCGGTCCATTGCTCTTGTCAGTGGCAGCGAGCACCATCAAGACAAGAATCGCGGTGGCTAGGAACTCTTGGAAGAAGCTTTGTGCTGCGACACAATTTGGAGGGTTAACAGGGAATAAAATAGAACTTAGATTGAATCGTACCATTAGAAAGGTATGGCGCCTGGAGAAAAAATGTGAGACTTTTCACCAGATGGATCAACATGTAAAAGAAACTCACCGGAAAAGTTGCAAACAAAGACGCAGCCGTATGAGAAATCGACTTGTCGACCAAGTTGGCATCGAACAGATGAATCGCCCGATAGTAGTTCGCATATACAAGGCTCGCTCCGACCCAGCCGCCTAGCATCTGAGCAAAGATGAACCCAGGCACCTTTTTCCATGAGAAGCCCCGAAAAACGGCCATTGCGATCGTGATGGCCGGGTTGATGTGTCCGCCCTGCGCGGCAATCAGACCGGAGTACCCTTGCCCGATCGTATACACGTACTGAGATGCCTGCTGATACCCATGCACCAAGTGCTATACCGGCTGACCATCCGAACGAGAGAGCAAGATAGTCCTGTGCGTAAAACTCGTGAGGATAAACACAGATATAAATAGTAAGGACGTACCCCTTTGGGACTGGATGCCACAGCAGTACTGCTGGACAAGACAACCTGGCAGTTGGCAGCATTGCCAAACATAACGAGCAGCATTGTCTACAACACACCTTCAGTGCGTTTGATTATGAACATGAGCTTAACTAAGACAGACCCCCAAGAACTCTGCGCTGGGCTCCCGCAGAAGGTACCTAAGAGTTCTCATAAGATCTTCACCACCCCAAATCGAAAGGCTTATACCGACCTGATCTTGGACAAACCACTTCGAGGGTGAGCGTAATGAGCGGGACTTGAGCTAGGTCCGCTGTCCGAAGTCTTGCCCTTCACGTCTGGCCCAGTCGTCCTATCGGCCACTTGACCTCCTGCGTATATGCACTACTCGCTCAACTGTATTACCCAAAAGTAACAGGTGTACTTACTATACGCAATGGAAGGGACGCTGAATGAGGATGACATTGTCGGTCCAGCAGGTCGTTGCGCCATGTTCAGTGAAGTGTACCCTGGTCGACCTCGGGTTCACCTATAGGTACCTATATACCTCACGCTTGCCTATGGCGCTACAGGATAATTGAAAATTGCCACATCGGCAAACAGGTTCGCCGCATACACATGCGGCTATCGTGCTCCAAGTATGTGGTGATGTACTCATGTTCCTAGATCATAGCCGCCTTACCGGCAATGGGCACCGTGTGTGGAGATCTGTGCTTGGACGCCCGCGAATCCCTTCAATACAATGCGGGGTCCACGTATATAATCCGGGCCCTCCGGTGTGAAGGCATGGGTAAAGTTCACACGGACCTATCGATGACTTGATGGGCGGGTTGCGTATGTGGGGATAGGGGTGTGTTACGTATATATCATTTTTGAATGAATAGCGATCTATAATCACACAACTTCACAAATGCACGCCCAGTTCCAGAATGTCTACGCCCACCGCCATCGCCTACTCATCTCATCGTGGCCACACATCTGCACTTCGCTTCCTACAAAGCATATGCGCTAGATTACGCGATGGAACATTGGGTATGATAGTACCACCTCCCACTATGAAACTTTGGCTAAACCAGCTGAATAGTAGTCGTGTAGATTTATCGACACGCAGAGTAAAATAACGACCTTCCTATGCGCAACACAACTTTTCATCCAGACTTCTATTAGTCAGCCGAGCGCTCAAGATCGATGGCGCTGCCATAACTCGTGGTGCTCCGGGGCCGGTTTGTTTCGCCGAGGGTCTCGCCTAGTATGGACATACACGAACAGCCTTGAACGTGGGCGTGGAAGGAAAGCGACTTTGCCAATGAGATTTGATTGCCAAGAGCGAAGCAGGTATTGTAGAAGCAGACACGTGCCGAGTCAAGATATTCCTAGGGAACCGCCATAGCCTGGGCATAGGTGCATATAATCTGCTGGAGGCGCAAAGCCTCTAATTGAACCCTCTAATCCACAATGTCTAGTTTCACAACTTCTGGCAAAGATAGGATGGTTCAGACAGGAGAAGAAGCCAAAGAGACATTCAATTTCAGCACGAACCAGTCTCAGGCCATGAGGAATCGATACGCCGCCGCATGAGTTAACTCATACCCATCGTTTGAGGCATTTGTTGTACAGTAAAGGTTATCCCGATTCGTCTGTCAGAATTTGGTATTGCTATACCCGTTATGGTTCTATCAAGGGGCCAACTACGCACGCTAAGGTTATTTATTTTTAACCTTATGTAATCTTATGGTGTTGTTTCTTCTGGCTGGGTCACAGTGGCGAGTAAAACAGTGTTCTAGTGGCCATAAGGCCACGAGATGTAGAGAATAATGATGTTGTGATTGCCGTACGAGAGTCATACCAACCAACGCAGTTCGTGTGTTACAGGATATGTATTTAAACAGAGATCTGCTCTCCGGATGATTCTTTCAACGTGTCGGACACCTCGTGAGTTTGTGTGTCATCGGTTACAACAAGTCTAGACGTTCAAAGCATATTAGATCATTATAGAGGCCAAACTCCACACCTGACACTCACCCTTTGTTGAATATACTCTCACAACCCGTAAACACCAGGATATCATAAAGAGTATTTCCAGCTAGTGCGCCAACAATAGGCCCCATCTACCCATGGTTAGGTTAAAACCTCGGGCATTATCTTTCAAAGCCACTCACAATAGCGACACATAACCAATACTGACCCCGATAATCCCAAACTGGTTTTCCAAGAATAACCATGAGATATTGATTAAACATGTACCTCGACCATTACCTTCACGCCCATACCCAACCATCCAGCACATCAAACGCGGCCCAAGATCACGGGCAGGATTGAGCGAGAAACTAGTCAAGAATCCATCGAGTTATTACCTTAATAAAAGATGAGCTGATGGGCTTACGATGTCTGCATACCGAAACATGAGCTTATGCCAAGCATAGCTATGAAAAGAACCAATGGAACAAGCCCAATTGGTACTTGTCCGTTATGCCGGTCAGTCGCGGCTAGAACTGCCAGCATCAGTAGTAAGGTCGCTAGGAACTCTTGGAAGAAGCTTTGTGCTGGCACATCATTCATCAGATCCAACGATGGCAGAAGAAAGTTTGAGTAAATGCCACACCATTAGAAAGGTACGATGCCTTAAGTTAGGTCATGAGCCAAACATCTTCATTTGTGTAGTCGAGAAGACCCTTACCGGAAATGTCGCAAATAATGACGCAGAGGTGTGAACGATGGAGGCATCAGTCATACCGGCATCAAATAGGTGGATAGCCTGGTAGTAGTTGGCGTACACCAAACTAGCTCCGACCCAACTGCCAAGTATTTGAGCAAGGATGTAACTGGGGACTTTTCTCCAAGAGAAACCTCGAAAAACAGCTAGCGCAATCGTGATGGCTGGGTTGATATGTCCACCCTGTTGGGCAATCAGACTGACATGTCCTTGCCGCATCGCATATACATACCGAGATGCCTGCTGATACCCATGCGCCCAGGGCTATTCCTACGGACCACCCGAACGAAAGAGCAAGATAGTCCTATACGTGTAAGATTTGAGTCTGGGTATACACTGCATCCTGTCAGTAGGAATGCCATACTCCTTTTGCACTCGATGCCACGGCAGTACTACTAGACAGGACGACCTGGCAGTTGGCAGCATTACCGAACATGACGAGCACCATCGTCTATCATATGCCTTGAGTAAGCGTGCTGATCGGTACAAAATAAAAGAAGATAAACCCCTAAGAACTCTGCACTAGGCTCTCGTAAAAGGTGCCTGTGAGTGCCAACTAGTGAGACATCTTTAGTACAGCATGGAGAACCTTAGCCTGACCTAATCATCATCCATCTTCTCCGAATTTGAGAGTGCTGTGTAGGATTCGAGTCAGAATGACCATTCGGCGCCAATGCGTTGACTTCCATCGCATTATCATGACCCTGTTGGAGTCCTGTACATGTTCTATTGTAAGTCACTCAAATATTTCAGAGTAATTTTTTCTCACTGTATCCAATCGATGGAATACTGAAAGAAGATGGCATTCTCGGAGACTTGGGTCGATGCGCCATGGTCGATTGAGTGAGACGCCAGTTGAACTGAGTCTATTTATATA